ATTATCACAATAGGATTTGTCTGCAGCTTCTTGAGTATTTTCACAACAAGCGGAGTAAGCTGACAAATCAAACTTCTTCCAAATCCCGTCAGAAGAAAAGCACAGACATCTTTCCCAGCTACAAATGCACAGTGTGCTTCTCTTTGCTCCTTTTTTAAAAAAAACGAAAAAAATGTCACTACTTTAGCTTAAACCGAGTCAATTGCAGTATGGAGTCCTCCAGGGCAGCATGTTTGTAATGCCCTGAAAAGGCCGTTCTGACTATCGTCATTCCTACATGCCCCACCCCCAAAAACACTGCTGGCATGTCATTGGTCCGACCCGCTGGTGGTTAGAAGACGGACGTATTAGAGTCTTTCAAGGTGGATTTGTTGTGAGACTGGAACCTCAGATCTCGCTGCAATCCAGCCTGAAGCGCAAGGTTATTATAATTCTGGATTTTTCAAATGATGAGCAAAAAAAAGCTGAAAATGTTGCTGTTATACCCCAATCACCTCTCGTGTAACTAGATCATAACTTTAATATTTAAAGTGTAAGGACCCATTATTCTTGTATTCGAGGCTTTAATCCACAATAAGGTTTAATGCAGATATTTTTTTTTACAGAGGCCAGGTTTCACTTCACATCACTTCCACCTTATTTTTTAGCAAATAATCCAACATTAAACAACAAAACAACAATATCAAAACAAAACAAGACCAACAATTTACCAAAAAAAAAAAGGAATAGGCTGAAGCAAAGCTTATTATTGCCTCCACAGTTTTATACTTACAACCTTTACAACCTACCAGGTTCTTTACTGCGTATATAAATATTTAAATCTACATAACATAGGATTTAATCATTTTACATTTTAAATTCCTTTTAAAATTCACCAAGAAAGGACATAACTTTAAATCATTCCACATTTTCACACCAATAACTGAAACACATCTAGACTTTATCTGGCTCTATCTTTTGCACATTCAAATATAAACAAACCTCGCAAATTATATTTATTCTCTCTTAACCTAAATAATTTCTGAATACCAGAAGGAAGACTTCTGTTCACTCCTTTAAGCATTATTTCCAGTATTTTTATATAAACAATGTCTTTGAATTTTAATGTGTTGCTTTGAATGAAGAGTTTATCAGTTCGTTCACGGTATCCCACCTTATTAATAAGCCTTATAGCTTTTGTTTGCAACTTAACAAACTTATCAATAATTGTTTTATTTGCATTTCCCCATACTTCTGAACAATAAGACAAAAACGGCATAACCAAAGAGGAATATAGAATATGCAGGCTTTAAATATCTATTAAATCATTTATTTTAAATAATATTCCAATAGTTTTTGCAATTTTATTTCTAATACCAAATCTGAAAATAATGAGAGAAGGGTAAGAGAGATAGATCCACAAATGGAAGGCTAAACGTTGTTATGAATAAATAAATAAATAAAGTAATGTATGGATGAATGGAGGTGAAAACACATAAATTTATCGTGGAAGCATCCAGAACGCTGGAGGAAGCAACAATAAAACACTAAAGACCGATGCAGTCCTGACGGAGAACACTTAACGGGTAACTACAAACGTATTTTATTGTTTGGGTATTGTGTTCACAGGGATCCAGACTTTCAGGAGACACAAAGTTATATCATTACTCGGTCTGAGTGGAAAGATTTCAGAAATCCGGTTCTTTGCATACGAGCAGAACGTGTCTTCTCTGAAACCTTACAGGTTCATCTTTCTCTGTAATCTACATGCATCTCATAGTCTCAATATTTCTGTTTCCCTCACATTACTTTTCCTGCAATCTCTGTTTTTGTCAACAGATAGTTCCTACATGCCATCAGCCTCTCTCTGCGCTGTGTCATGTTCCACTGTGACAATAACCTGAAACTGATGGTAGCTTTCCACTTCCCCGACCAAACAATGATTCTACCTTGTTGGGTTCAATGGTGTAAACACAGATATGATTAAAACCGATGAGGTATATCGTATGGCATGGATTTGCTCTTATGTCTTAACTTTTTATACAGCTCAGTAAAGTAGATGTAGCTTTATAAATTTAATACCAAGATGGAATTGAAGCACCACGCTATTATCTCTACACGCAGACATTTCTGTTATATTGTTGATAAGTTGTTTATTTAAGACTCAAGAAGCACTCTGAGAGCGCAGACCTGTCAAATAGGTCGTTTCCCCAAACATGTTGTGACTAGGCCTGTCGCGATAATCAATAAATCAATTAATCTCACAATAAATAAAAACTATCCACGTCATTTAATTTATCGGCTATATCATCTCTGTCTGTGTTTTTTCTCTTTCTATTGATGACGCTGGATGACAAGGCTTAACTCCGGTGCGTTCCACTGACCCCTCCCCTTCCTCATTTTTTAGCAAGGGAATAAATGAGGAGGGAGGAGGAGGGGGCTATCGCATCAGGTTGTCAGCGTGCATCATTTTTTACTTCTGCAGCTTTAGAGCCCCGTGAGGAGTTAGAGGAGTTAGCGAGGTAAAAAAACAAAAAACATCTTATGTTGTGGGAAAAACTCGAAATGGAACTGGTTTCAAAGTCGAGCGCAGCAGCTGCAGTGTGGGAATATTTCGGATTCAAACCAAATGACCGAGGCGAACAGCTGAACCAATGCGAGCCAGTATGTCGCATTTGTCATTTGTCATGTATGTAGCAACTAAGAACAGCAATACAACCAACCTACACATGCACCTAAAGCACAACCACCCAATAAAGTTTCTCCAGCTGGGGACAAATAGTACAAGCGATGGCCCGCCTGCGTCTTCAAATTCGCAACAGTAATCATACAAAAAGGACGGCGCAAAGTGGCGCGTGCTCACAGACAGCATAGTTCATTTGATTGCTAAAGAGATGCTCCCATTTAATATTGTTGAAAAGCCTATCTTCTTTAAAATCTAATGATATACAGTAGGCTTGTCCCGATCCGATCCACGTATCGGATCAGGACGCCGATATTGGCAAAAAAATGCGTATCGGCAAAGCATGTAAAATGCCGATCCAGACTGCCAATCCAGTTTTTAAAAAAAAATCTGGTCCGTATTTTCCAGTTTCGCCGATTGAAACGATCCATTCCACTTTTTTGCGCCAGTGTTTCCCTGTTTTGCATTTTTATTAAAACTTACAGTAATACTTGCACCTTTAACTGTTTACGGTTTTACTGTTCACTGTGCAATTTCAGATTGCTATTCATAATTTTGTCCAGTTTGTGTTTATCTCTTAATAAGGTAAGGTAACAGGTAAGTTTGTTGTTACCAAGCATTGTGTTTTATTCAATCTCACCTAATTTAGCTGGCTAGATGTTATCAAGAGTACTAAAACCCTTTTCAACATGAGTCTTACAACTAAGGCTAAATACTTTAACTTAAACTTAAATACATGCTCGGATAGGCTGGTATCGGCCAGTATCGGTATCGGATCGGAAGTCCAAAAACAATATCGGTATCGGATCGGAAGTGCAAAATCCTGGATCGGGACATCTCTAATATACAGACTTCATTATTTGTACTCTATTGGTTGAAGGTAGTTTTTATTTCCACTGTAGTTTTATGTTGTGTTTAGTTTTTATTCAAGTGCATTTTTAGTTAACAGAGACTGAGAGTCCATTTGATTTTTATTTCTCGTTTTATTTTGTTAACCAGTTCTCAGTGGCGGCCGGCCCATAGGGGGTTCTGGGGCACCGCCCTCCCTGATAAGAAGAAAGTAACGTAAAATATATTTTTACTAATTAAATCATACATGTCACTTTTACTCTCTAGAGTGTGTACCTATAAGTAAAACAAATTATATAAAATACATTTCCCAACCTACTGTCATTCATTTGTGGATTTCCACAGACAGACTCCTACCGTCTCTGTCTTGGGGCTCTGATCAGACTGCCCCACATGTGCAGAGAATCTACCAATCATGTAATATTGCTAGGTCAATTTAATAATTTAATGGCCAATCAGCATCTCAGAATTTTATGGTCTTGGGGCTCTGAAAATGCTGCCCTTTAACAGGCTTCTGCACCCAATGCGCAGGTGCAGACAATTAGAGGGACGATGGTGAACGTAACGAGCGAGGTGCAGCTTCCACCAAATTCGGTGAGATCCTTATTTATCTACCCGTTTGCCAGAAGAACATCCCTGTTGTAGGATATGAACATTTCATGTCATGGTTATTGTGACCAAAATCATCACTGTTACTGTTATTATATAGTAAATTAAATCATTACTGTTAAATTGTATTTATTGTCCAATTGTTTAGTTGGAGACATACACTAGGTTATATCAGCCTGACCAAAAATATTTTTCACCAGCCGCCACTGCCAGTTCTAGTGTTAAGTGTTCTGTTGAAAATAAAGTGCGTTTATCTTTGGCAGGAAATCGCATGCATTGTTATGTCATTTCCATTAAATCAGTTTAAAAAGGTCCTCAAACATTATTATCGTTTAACGCAATAATTTTTGAGACAATTAATCGTTCAGAAAAATTTGTTATCGTGACAGGCCTAATTGTGACTTCCACCTTAAGTTAATACCTGTATTCAGAGAATCTTTCAAAAAATTCCCTGATCCAGGTGGAGAAATTGGATCATCATTAAATGTAATCAATTGTTGCCAGTCAGCCCAGTGCTGCTGCCTGCTGTGGTCAGGACTCGCATTTTTCACTCAATCTTTTTTTAAATGATATTGCTTTTATCCACTGTTGTCTTCACCAAAACACATACAGTATTTAGAGACCATGTATGGATTTTAAGGCTTCTTGTTTAAGTTGAACTAGCAAAAAAATGGATATCTGCTCATAATAGTCAATCTGGGGCCTTTATGTCAACATCTCTGTTTTTATTTTCCTCAAGTCTACACTGAAACTCCTGTTGTTTCTATGTCAAGGTTCATGTTTTCAAGCACCTCTCCAAGGTTTACCATCTACTCAATCTGCAGCCCTACTGACGTAATGTTTGTGAGTGCAGCAGCGAGTGGCATGACTGGACGTTTACCTTTGCCCCGATGTATCGCATGGTGAGCCCTTCCTCTTGTGTGACTCCAGCGTGGCAGGGTCCAGGGGGCCTTCCCCTACTGCACTCATTTTCAGCTTAGACAGACCTGAAAAGAAGAGAAGCAACAAAAACAGAAGAACCATTAACAATCTGCAGCAAGCCAAGATCTTAAACAATAGAGATGCCATCAAGTCGCTTTTCTATTCCCTTATGTAAGATGCTTTTTCACTAAAAAACAAACTGATGATCTTTATGACATGATTTAAGTAAAGAAGACAAACATGTCCTTCAACTAACAGAATTAACAGCTGCAGGCAGCTCATGCCAACCCTACAATGTATAAAAAGTAGAACCAGAAGGTATAGGAGATTTACAAGATGGAGCTAATTACGCACATTACAAAGAGCATACATCAGAATATGGAGCTGATCCAGGCAAACACAGTGAAGTAATACTGATATTAGACTGATGGGATTTTTATAAAACACACCATCAGAATCATATGCAATGTGAACTTTTATTCAAAGATATTGTAATATACAAAATATATAGATTTCAAAGTAGCTGCAGTAAAATTAGGAAAAAGCAAGAAACATATTAAACCTTAGATAAAAATGTATTTTTGTGTTATTTTATCCACTTGAATGAGACAAAACATTAAACCTTTTTCAGACTAAGCAGGTTGCTCTGCTCCAGGAAAAAATGTATTTGGATTTCCCTTAGCTACCTTTTACTTAAACCCCTACAAAGGTATTATCAAGTCCTATTGCTCTAAATCCTGTTGCTTTGTTAACTTCCAGTTGCAGAATAGAAAAAGTTATTTCTCCAGGACATATTACTCGCACGGCTCCAGCAAAACTATACGGCTTTAAACTTATGGTTCTTCTACAGCACCTTTTATCTGTTTAAAGTAAAATTCTATGCAAAACTTTACAAAAAAACTAATGTTAAATGTGTGAAGGAAAAGAATTCAAGCGAAATTTAGATAATTTCTTCTATGCAGAACTTTACTTAGCCAGTTCATTTAAAACATGTGCACTTCTATGACTCTTCTTCTTAAAATAATCTCTATGGAGAAGAGATAGGAACTAAAGTCGTTCCCATATGTCTTAAAGGCATACTATGCAACAATTTTCAGTTAATTAATGTGTTCCATAACGTTTTGGATGATTAAATGAGTCATATCAGGT